ATATATATATATAAAGTGCCCTAAAGGAGGGGGAGTTGAGGTGTTCTAGAGGGAAGACTGCTGCTACTGTGAGCAATAGAGAGAAAAGCTGCTGCAGGAATTGAATGGACAGAACCCCAAGAAGGAGCAATAACCCTGTGGTTATTGAAGGGACCATTGTTGCTATGGATGGTCCTGTTACTGCTATGGCCACTGATATTACCCTGGGACTTTGGGGAGATAAAACCATTGGATTGCTGGAACTTGTTGGACTTGGAGGACAGCTGAAATGTGAGTGTCGACCACGTGGAACTTTTACCATAGTACATGGTTGCATGGATATATTGAAACTGTTGTAGCACCTACAGACTGCTATCTTGCTGTATCTGCTAACGTGGACCTATGTTGTTCGAGGAAATTTTTACAATTTTGTCTACTCTAGTGGGTGTAAAGCTAGCCTCTCAGTTACATAACTGGCATGAACAGCCTACATCACAGATGTGATTTTCAAAAGTGAAACTCTGCGCTGGTAGATTTCCTAAATAGTTTTGAAGGGACCGGAGGAACAATCCCAGGAATTCCAGCTCTCTCCTCATATTTTCATGTTCGGTCTTGGTTCTGGTCCTTACACAGCTTGGAATATTGTGACGGCATAAATGTTATCTCATTTATATACAGTCATTTATATATAGTCACAATGTTCCAAGCTGGGTAAGGACCAGAACAAGACCAAATATAAAAATATGAGGTCAGAACTGAGATTTGCCTTTAACTTGTGCATTCCAGTTAAAAAGGTATTCAGGAAATCTATCTGCACAGAGTTTCACTTTTGAAAATCACATATGTGATGGAGGTTGCCCATGCCAGTACCTCCTGGGACATTTTGTACATACCCATTGACCTTGCCAGTTAGAACCACTATATAAGGACTTCCTTTGATAGGGTGACAATGTTCTTCACTCTGCAGTGAAATCACTGCAGCATTGTCACACTTTCTAATGATGTAGCTGCTTAGATACTGGCTCCATTGATAGTCTCATCAGTAAATAGCCATGCCTAACCTGCCTATTAACAGATTGGCAGCACATTGGTGTATCTGCAGGAGATTAGGAAAATAATGTCAAATCCCTGCTCAGTCCCCACCACCACCACCTCCAACACTGTCTATCAGGGTGGAGGAGAAATTCAGATTCCCAGCTGCATTTACCATTTACAAAGAGACAGATTACATTTCTTTTATAACATTAAACTTTCAACATGTCAACTTTCATTGTGTATCTCCCTTTAGAGGAAACCGCCCACATTATATACAGTACCAGTGTAGGCATGAAGGGTACAACTATAGCTAAGGGTAATCGGGGATCTGTAGAACTTCATATCACTGTAAGGAAGGAAAGACTTTCATGAAATAAAGAATTCTTCATGGTATCGTCTTTTTTTTTTTCCAGTTGTCTGTGGATCTTCCATCTGTGGTAATTCTCGATGTGTTGTTTCTTTCTTACAGTATGGCAATTCTGGTGGACCCTTGGTGAATTTGGTGAGTAGCCAACTATAAATAAACTGTCCATTAGTGTGTTTATCTGTACTGTAGCGGTGTTTATACTAAAACTACATTCAGTTCTTAAAACTAGAGCCACCATGTAAGAGAGGAGAGTTATTACCATTCCATAGGGTGGTTATTCCAATCTTCACTCTCTTGAAGACCTACGGGTGCCACTAATATTTGGCATTTCCTGGTGTGTCAAATAAATGGTCCACCGTTGGGCGCTGTGGCTCCGCCTGCTGGCCAATATGCCACTAAAGGAAACCGTGGTAGATGCTGCAGACATTGGGAGAAACCGCAGTGCCCAGGGAGGGTCAGTTATCCGACATGGATACCAGTAGTGCCACGGCTCTTCAAGAGACTGAAGAATTAGGTCACTGCAGAAAGCTAAGTGCTAAATGCGGAGGTAAGCCTTAAGTGGAACTTGTATTGAGTATAAAGAATACAATATTTAAAATGGCCTCCATTTTCCTGGTCTTGCCTACACTTTTGTGTTACAGCAGTTGTACAAGGTGTCTAAATATACCTGTGTAGTCCAACCATGGTCCAGGGTGTGCTCTAGTATACTCAGTAATCAGCACTCAGTAACAGTCCTGCTCTGACAACCTTCTCTCTTCTTCTGCATTACAAGTCTACATGAGGAAACTTGCTATGATGGGTGTACTTGCCAATGGAGTGAGATTGCATGACTACTCGATACCACTTAATGTACTGTTATCCTTTAAAGCCCAAGTGAAGTCACAGAAACAAAGAGTCAGATAGACATTTTACTAACGACCTCCATTTTCCTTTCTGGGGCACGCCCCCTTCAACAGAACCTAAAAACAGTCTGCCCAGTATCCTGTCTTAAATCTCAGCGAGATGGATCACATGGGATTTTTATCAATAAATTACTGTTTTACACTATGGAGGCGCTCTTTTTCGTTTCTTGTCTCCTAGAAAAGTATAAGAGTTTAAATGGGCATTAACCTATGGGCCGCCATCGCTAAAAGTATTATATAGCAACCAGGGTTTGCATTTTTCTGACTGCCAGCTAATTAAAATGATTTGGGTGGATTTGTCGCCCTCCCCTCTCCCTGCCATATGTCCTGGGCTTACCTGTCCCTCCTGGGTGCCCAGGACATCCATGGCAGGTGTCAGGATGGAGAGCTGAGGGAAATCTGATCCCACCTGGGTGGTATGAACCTGGAAGCGCTCAGCTCTGAGCACTTCCTGTTTTAGAGCTCTCAAACCCCGGATGCTCTGGCCAGGGAAGCAGCTGATTGAGCAGTCTACAATCAATCAGCTTGAGCCAGAGGTGGGCAACTCCGGCCTTCCAGCAGTTGTGGAACTACTAGTCCCATGAGGCATTGCAAAAATGATAGTTACTGGCATGACTCCCAGAGGCAGAGGCATGTTGGGATTTGTGGTTAAAGTACAGCTGGAGGGCCCGGAGTTGCCCACATTAAAAAGAGTTTAGGGTTGAAATAAGATACCTTACAAATGTCTCCTTAAACAGATCCCATCACCTGCGCTATGTTATCACATACGTAGGGGACTTGTTTGCCCCCTTGTGATAGCAATAAGGTTAAGTTAAAAAAATGTGTGTGTGTTTATATATATATATATATATATATATATATATATATAAATATGTTATATTTGAAAAATCTAATAAATATATATTACAAAAAAAAGTTTTAAAAAAATATTAAAAATAATTGTAAAAACTCAAATTACAAAATATTAACTCACTTTGTTACATTGTTTCAGTTCTATAATGTCTTTAGAGTTTATTATTTTTTATCTATTATTGGCAGCTGTGTCTGTTTTCATGTAATGCGCCTACAAGGAGGATTGTCCTAAAATGGGCGTTCTTTGGGTGACACTCATCTGTGAATCAGGAAAATTAGTTTTTAAAGAAATAATTAACTCTGAAAATAAACATTTTAGGAAGAAAAAAAAAGGAAAATGTCATTATCAACTGAAGACAATTGTTGTGTTGCTGATAGTACCATTGGACAGAGGATGGGAGATGCCAGCCAGTACAGAGACATTTGTTTTGCCCTGTAGTATTCTTAGGTTGTGAAATTGCCAGGACTTAAGACTCTGACATCTAAATCCAAGAACCAAAATGCTCACCAGTATTGGGGCTCACCAGTCCGTAGATGCGATGGCTGCATTAGTTTCCTTTTTTAGGCTTTTTTTTTTCTTCTTATATTTTTACACTTCCAGGGTGGCTACACTCACTCCTCCGCTGTATCTATGGAGGAGCAGCGTAGCCACTCTTGGACAGCAGCATTGTCACCCTGTGGAGATGGTGGGGTTAGATGGAGTAGCACATCACTGGATTTCTGTTTTTTTCAATCATAGAGGTTCAGCAACACATGTGGGGGGTATTACCTAAGGTGATGTGAATGCAAATACAGCCTTCTTCAAAATGCCCACTCCTCCAGATTGACACCTGCCCATCGAGGCATTTTGATATTTGCAAAACTCCTCCCACTGCTTGCATCAGGGTTGAGGGCTCTTGAGAGGCATAATAAGGCAGGGTACTATGATGTTTTCAGGAAGCTATGTGGCTCCTCCCACCAACCATGATCCGCCTGCATCTGATAGTGTCTGATAAGGGGTTACATGTTGTGTCTACAGGAGAAGTGAAGGGAAATCTTCCCAATACCAATGGCAAAAGAGCCTGACACGGCTGCTAATCCTTCCCTACTTATTTTAAAATGGAAAAATAAAAAGGGTTTGGGCTTTAGATACACTTCGTCTGACAGTACTGGCCCTGGCGTTCAATTCCTGCATTGAAGAAAGATTTGACAATCATGACTAGGGAGGAGCTCAGGTTTGGACTGAACCAAGGCTCCCCCGAACATGGATGTGCTATGAGGTCACCTGCCCAATCGACTGCAGGGCATTCCCCATCCCTCATCTGCATGTATGCAAAGGGGTGGGATTCCGTGACGTCATTGACCTTATATGGCCACAATAGGTCAATATCATTTACCAAATATAGGCATGTATCCATAAAAGGTCAATGGCATCACTACATCCCACCCCTTTGCTTGCATCAAGAATTCCCTGCCTGCAGCTGATGGGGCGGCACCAAAGGAGCTTCCTTCTATGTTCAGTCCAAACCTGAGCTCATCCCTAATTATGACATCTCAATGGATAGTCTCAATGACAGCTACACAAAGAGTGACCATGAATCAACATAACCTTTTTAATTGATATCGCTTTTCTCCCTGGGGACTCAAAGCACTTTATCTGCTGTTGGGGCAAAGGGTGAGGCAGCCATCTTGGGCAAGCTCAGTAGAACATCATACTTGGGCCAATTTAAAACAGTAGCCACTTCAGAGCCGTAGCTAGATCCTTTTGCGCCCGATGCAAGAACAAAAAAAGTGCCCCCGCCCAACAGGCATGTGATGACGCACACGCGCGGCGTCATGTGATGTCATGTGATCTCATGCGCACCGCTTCTAGGATGTTTTCTTATTTTTTCTTATTTTTTAGTTCTTTTTTATTATCTATTTATTTATTTTCTTTTAATTTTTTTTTTACTGTTGGGGGGGCCTCGGGGAAATATTAGGGGTCTAAACAACCCCCTAATATTTCCCTTTTAAAATAGAAAAAAGAAATTGAGGACACAAGGTCCTCAATCTCTTTCTCTGCAGACTCTGTTCTAAATGAATGGAAATTACAGAAGCTTCCCATTCATTCAGAAAATATTTTCTACCAACCAGTTTCTGAATGAGGGGAAAAGCCTCTGTGCAGAGTGCTACTACCCATTCAGAAACTCATGAATGAACAGGAAGTGATGTAAAGCACTTCCTGTTCATTCAAAACTGGGGACACATAGTACTATTTGTCCCCAGTTATTTACAAACATTGGGGTGATCAGCTGATCGTTCCAGTGTTTGCTCTGCACCCAGAGGATCGGTACATATCACTCATCCTCCGCCGCTCGTCCACTTACAGAGGGGCGGCATAGCCTGCAGCTTTATCCTCGCTGCTCTCCCCCTCCTGTATGGGCAGAGGCAGCGGGAGATCCGAGGAGGTGAAGCGCTGAAGCCGGTGGGGGCGGAGGAGGGAACGGCTGTCACAGCAGCATGGCCGAGCGGTGAGGAGAGAGAGAGCCTGTCAGATCCTGGCCAAGTGGCTCTTTCTCTGCTCACCAGTCGGCCATGTTGCTGTGACAGTGGCTCCCTCCTCCGCTGCGCGCCAGCTGCAGCACTTCACTTCTCCTCAGATCCCCGCTATGCCTGTGCCCATACAGGTGGGGGAGAGCAGCAGGGATCCCGAGGAGAAGCTGCAGGCTGAGCTGCCCACACTTCTCAGTGCTGAGCACCCCTCCACACCTGCACCCAAGGCAAGAGCCTCAGTCACCTCGCCCTCGCCATGGCCCTGACCCACTTAACCTACCAGCATGTCTTTTAGAGTGCGCGAGGAACCTGGTGTACCCAGAGGAAACAAGCTCCTTGCTTAACCTCCAGTGCCTTGCGAAACCTGGTTTTGAACCAGGGACCTCAGTGTTACAAGGAAGAAATGCTCATCACTGAGCCACTTGGCTGCACTAGCCCAATGAAAGTCAAGAACTGATAGTTCCTTTCTACTTACATTGTCCTGCCGACAATATAGTTTGAAGCTTATATACATTATACCTTGATGCTTGAAGCCTCCGATGTCTGGTACATATAGTGAGAACATAGGGGTGCCTATGTACAGTAGTCATTATGGGTCCATTACCCTCATTACATGAACGCTCCGTATAGTGATTGTGGTTATGCTGTCAAACAACCGACGTGATTAACTGCTCCTAGACCGCATGTTTCTTCTTGCACATTCCATACCAGGTGTTTTTTGCACTTCGCCAGGTTATAGCGTTAAACGAAAACACTCACAAAACCGGCTCTGCAGCACAAATCATCGTATTACGACACAAGTACAGGCAGAGATTGTTGCGCTGATGCTTCCATTGGCCGGGATGTAGCCCCTATTATGTTTTTTCTTTTCTGTAGAACTGTCTGTATTGCAAAAACATTTTTGTATCCATGGAGCTCCTTCATAACCACCGCCATTTTCCCCCAACTCCAATGTGAGATCTGTCTTGTTTTTGGAACCTCTCATTTTAACTATTGTGTTATCTATTATTTTATATAATTTAGTATAACTTTATAAAAAAAACAAAAACAAAGCGTCCAAAGCATTCACGTAAAAAAAAAAAAACTGACCTCAGCCCGGCCTTTGGCACCTACCGGGAGGCACAGGTGACGTCATTGTTCCTCGGGCACGGAGCTTGCAATCCTGGGAGTATGCACTCCGGCCAATTGCAAGATTGGATTCTCATAGAATTTCAAGCTCTTAGATCTGCCAGGAGGCACAGTGCCGGGAACCATTGGAGGCCGTTGGTGAGGTAAGTTTTAATTTTTTGGGCAAATGGTTTGTTTACAAATAGCTTTTCAAAGCCATTTGTGCTAGGGGGGCTGGGAAATAAGGGGACCTTTTGTTTGCCATGGAAGGTTCACTTTAAGAAACATTTATAGCCTGTGATTGGACTATTCAAGGTTAAGCAGCTGAGCTCATCTCTCTGTAACTCTGATCTCTCCTATCAACGTGCTCTTAATTATAGTCCCAAAAGTGAGTGAAGCAAGCTTATGTGTGATCAGGTAATGTTGGATCCCCTAGTGCATGGAGCGTAAGCTCCAGCCAGTATTCCGCCAGGGACTCCCTCACAGAGGTTTGAACTTAGCTGCCTGCTGACCCCAAGTTGAGACCCCCTTGGTTCACCTTGCTCTAACGTGTGAACACCAACCTGTACAAACTAGAGGGGAGACAAAGAAGAAACAGGACAGAAGTCAAATAATGGCCCAGGTGGCAGGCAGAGATGTGGTTGGTATGCTAGCAAACGGTCAGTCCAGGCAGACAGAGATGTTCTCGGTTATGCAGGCAAAGGGTTGTCCAGGCAAATAAGCAGTAATGTGGTTGGTATGCTAGCAAAGAGTTGGTCCAGGCAGCAGACCGAGACATAGTTGGTATGCAGATAGAAGGCCGGTCCAGGCAGCAGGAAGAGAAATGGTTGTATGCAGGCGAGGGGGTCAACCCAGGCAGCAGGAAGAGATGTGGTTGGTATGCAAACAAAGGGTCAGTCCAGGCAGCAGGCAGAGAAGTGGTCAGTAAACAGGCTAAGGGTCAGTCCAGGGAGCAGACCGAGACGTGATCACTAGTTCAGTATATAAGTTGGAGCATCAGTTTTCACAAGAAAAATATCAACTTACAATGATTTAGGTAAACAGTATTTAAATTTCTGTCTCCTGTCATGTAGACGAGGTGAATTCCAGTGCACTTGCTGAACTTTGTAAAAATGAGTGTCAGATGTTAGTACTGGGTCCCGTTTATCATCAGAACTCCAGTAAACCATTTTAATGAGTTTGGCATCCTACCTCACAGATAAAGTATAGCAGACTGGCGTCATTAGACATTTTACTACACATGGACCTTCCAACCACATGTAAGGACATGCTGGAGATATTACATCGTCTACAACAGGCTGTATGTAACTTGTAAGAGCTGGAGTTGGAAAAGCCCCAAAAAGTGAATGTCATGAATCGAGATCTGCTGGGCAGTCTGGTCTCACTGGGAGTATGCCAGAGATCCTGACAGCCGCGTGTGTCTTTCTTCTACCGCCAGTGGCGTGTTCTCCTGATGGCTTCCTATTCGGGCACCTACTTCCTATGTGCAGGTGTATGTCCTATAACCTGTGTATGTCCTATGACCTGTGTATGTCCACTACTGAAGGTATGGAGTCAGCTTCTTCTTAGGCTTGCCCTATGGATACAGGCTGATGGTCCAGACATTGGTATGTCAGCCTGTAGTCCAAATCAGGAGTGAGCAGACTTGGGTGACAACTCTGCTCCTCCATAGATGTTCAGTGGTTGAGCATTGTCCAACCAGGACAGGAAGTGTCTAAGTGGCAGGATCACCAGGTAACACTCCTCCTCCTTACCTTCCACCAGGAGGAGGGTGGAGGGTAAGCTACCAATTTATGATCTATTTGTAGATATTTATTGCTATTTAGATATTTATTGATTAGATATTTTAGATATTATTGATTTTTATTTTAAATATACTTTAGACTAGGGCTGTGGAAATTAAAGATTAATTTCTCGTTTAATCGTTAAACTTTTTGATCGATTAAAATTATTTTGATCGCTAATGAAAACATTCACCTCTCCGCCGGCTTCCGGGATTCCCGTCGTCACGGACATCGCGTCACCTGACTCCTCCCCCCTTCCCCAAGTGGCTCCGTCGGCTAACGAAGGGAAGGGGGAGGAGTCCGATGACGTTGATGTCCGTGATGTCACCAGACTCCTCCCCCCTTTGTTAATAAAAAAAAATAATTTGATTAATCGAACACGAAAATTGTAATCATTACCAGCCCTACTTTAGACCTTACATAGGCTACCCGTGTTATTACCCCTAAAACTTGTTATTGCCTGGCTTATATCTTAATCTAAAGCATTCAACTTTCTGAGTCCCTAACCCAAGGCAAGTATGAAGATCAGGATTTCTGATTTTCCACTCACTTTGCTTTACTGAAGCCGGAAGCCCGCCCCTCATTGCAGTCATCGGAAAACCCCGCCCCTCATTGCAGTCATCGGAAAACCCCGCCCCTCAGGGGGGCAGGCTTGTGATGATCGCAAGTAATCTTTCCATCAGAACAACAACAAGTAATGAGTCCATTGGTTGGGTGCATTTCACTTCCATAGTCCCATTGAGAAGGGTGAGGAGGGTCGTTGCGGTCCATGGTCTCCTGAATATGGGAGCTCAAAGTATCGAACTATAAAGCGCACTCGTAAGCAGAGGCACCGTAATGACCCTCCTCACCCTTCTAAATACGACTATGGCAGTGAAATGCTTGACCTTGTTACAGGACTATGAACCCAATGAATGGACTCATTCCTTGTCTCCCTCTCTCCTACCTCTTGGCTGGCTGGAACTGATTTCCCAGCACTATAATTTATAGTCATGGCGCACTAGCACCATCTAGCGGACAATAATGGAACTGCTCCCACAACAGCGGATAGTGCAGAACCCTCCGTTACAAGCAGAATGCAGAAAGGGGCTCTTGTTTGCTCCCTTTGGTCTATTGAATATAACTTGGGATGTATTTTGTTATATATGTTCCTTAAGTGCAAGAAAATATCTGTTGTTTCCTGCCAGAAATACAGTGAGCTAATAACTTCCTGTGCTCTCTGCCTTTGCTGCACCTCTTTCAGTTACATTGTTTCCAGTTCTCTCTGTGGACTATGGATCTCCCTCTCCTTTGTTGTGGAGAAGAGGAGAGGGAGAGTTGTTCTGAAGTTCCATTCTAAAACATGACAAGGCTGCGCTTTCATAGATACTATACAGTGCAGTGAGTGTTGTCACCCTAGGACAGGAAGTGTGTTACCGGCAGGGTCACCAGGTGAAAATAAAGGAAAAAAGCCTAAAAAGAGAAAACAAAGGCAGCCACCACATCTAAGGACTGTAAATCTGCAATGTGTTACATTGTTCTTGTTGAGTTTGGATGCAGTTTTTGCTTTTCTACTGTTTACTTTCCATTCATCTGCAGGATGGGGAAGTCATAGGAATAAATACATTAAAAGTCACAGCAGGGATATCGTTTGCCATTCCTTCTGATCGTATACGGCAGTTTTTGGCTGAATCACATGACCGTCAGCTTAAAGGTACGGAGACCAGATGTGTACTATTGTATCTGCATAAATGTGGCCCTACAGAATCATTTATAGGTGTGTGCTGTACAGACAGTAAACCTACATTGTACCTTACCGGTGATAGTTTACATGAAGCAATACCTAATAGAATAAATAAGTTACAACTGGCCAGGTCTTACCACACTGTATTGGTTGAGTGCAGTGGTTGTCAACATACAAGGTATAGGTATAGGGTTGGCATCTTTTCTTCAAGCGAAACCCGAACATTCTAGTGACGCACGGACATTTTTTGGGGAGAATGAGTCGTGGCTTATTCATATGTAAATATCACAGTTGAGACTATTTTCAGTAGCCCCTATCCTAATTTTGGTTGCCCCTGTCTGCCTGACATTTTGTGTCTGGGTTTCAGCTGCCATGAAACCGGGACACAGGATTTAAAACCCGGACTGTCCAGGTGAATCCTGGACAGGTGGCAACCATATATAGGGGCCCCAACTATGACCTCTGATATCACAAAAGTGCCACACATAATGTTCATTATATGTAATGATAGAGGGGACTGTTAGAGACTGCAGATGTAGTAGAGCAGCCTTTCTCAACCAGGGTTCCTCCAGAATTTGCTAGGGGTTCCTTGAGCAATAAATAATTTCTGACTCTCAGATAGGTAACCGGTGATAGTAATTATCTTTTTAACTTTCTTTAATGATGTAATTCTTCCCACTGACCAATGTAAGGAGCATTCTTCCCACTGACCCCCAATGTAAGGAGCATTCTTCCCACTGACCACCAATGTAAGGAGCATTCTTCCCACTGACCACCAATGTAAGGAGCATTCTTCCCACTGACCACCAATGTAAGGCGCATTCTTCCCACTGATCACCAATGTAAGGCGCATTCTTCCCACTGATCACCAATGTAAGGAGCATTCTTCCCACTGACCACCAATGTAAGGAGCATTCTTCCCACTGATCACCAATGTAAGGAGCATTCTTCCCACTGATCACTAATGTAAGGAGCATTCTTCCCACTGTCCTCCAACGTAATGAAACCCTTCTCTTACTGACTCTCCCATTGACTACCTATATAAGGTGGTTTTTCTGCCACCAATCACCAGTTTTTCTGGCCAATACTATTTGTTTAATTCCATTTGAATCACTGAAGATAATTGAGCTGTACAGAGCCGCCCTGGGTGACAAATACACAAAGTACAGCACATTCCTTTGTCTTTTATTTATTGTTATATGGCAACTTACTGTTCATACTAATATACTCTGACCTGTAGATACAGCAATTATCAGCAGGGGTTCCCTGAGACCTGAAAATTATTTCAAGGGTTCCTCCATGGTAAAAAAGGTTGAGAAAGGTTGTACTAGAACTGAAGGCCAAAGACTACGGATATGCTACCGGGGTGGTCGGAGACTGGAGGCATGCTGCAGAAGGCTGCAGTAGACTGGGGACATATTACATGACGCTAGTAAGAGATCACTGCTATTCCCCCTATTTCCTCTTCAGTCTGCTGGGGTCCAAGCGCCATACCACAAATACCAAAGGCCTGCATGTTGCCTGTAGGCCACAGGTTGGTCATCAGGGGTCTAGGGTACCAGGGACTGTATAAAAGCAAGCACACAGCATTCTCGGTGCATTCCATGAGGACGTTTTATCATCACTTATCATGTTTCTCTTGGTTGTACAGGAAAGGCCCTTCCAAAAAAGAAATACATGGGGGTGAGGATGTTACAGCTGTCCACAAGGTAGGCACTACGTTCAGTATCAGTGTTCTGGATTCCGGGGATAATGGCAGCACAGCAACCAATCAGATTCCAGCTGTGCCTTTTCTGTTAAAAGTTAGAAAACAATTGCAGATATCTGGACACACGGACACGTTTTCTGTTCTCCACAAGGCTTTGTATATAGCAGGGCAGTCTACTAATGCAGGTCAATAGACGAGTGTCAAGACTGAAGATCTCAATGGAGTGGTGGGTAGGGGGTGGCTGATGTTAATGGATGCAACACCTACTAGACATGTGTGATTTGTTTTGTCCCGAATTTAAATTTGGACCAATATCAGCATATTTGGACATTTCGGATGCATCCGAATTTCTGAATGAAAGAAATAGCGAATCGGAACGTATCCGATCATTTCGGATGCATCCGAATTACTTTCCGAATGTCATTCTGAATGAATTTATGTTGTTAAACATACAAAAAAAAACAGCGGAGTCCCCTCCCCAATTCATACCAGACCCTTTAGGTCTGATAGGATTTTTAGGGGGGACCCCAATGCCAAAAAAGAAGCGTGGGGTCAAGCCTAAAATCCCTTAGCAGACCCTTGATCTGAGCAGCAGGAAATGGGGGGGACGAGCAAGCGGACCCCCTCCTACCATACCAGGCCACATGCCCTCAACATAGGGAGGGTGCTTTGCCATGTCCATGAGGACAAGGGCCTCTTCTTCATCAACCGGGCCCAGGGGTTGTGGGCAGGGGGGCTTATAAGAGTCTGGGTGCCACCCCTTGTGAATGAGTAAGAGGTAGTTGTTACTAGAGATACACCGATACTAGTACTAGTGCTGATACTGAGTATTTGGGCGAGTACTACTACTCGCCCAAATGCTCCCGATACTTATCCCGATACCAGAACTTCTGGTATTAGGAAGCCATGTGGCGAGTCATTACACGCTGCCGTTTTCCTGATAGGCCAGGAAGCCGGCTCCAAGGAGCATGAAGGCAGCTTCCTGGCCCACCAGGAATCCGGGGGAAGGGGCGTGTAATGACTCACCCCCCGGCTTCCTGATTACCTGGGATGTAAGTGATGCAGGTTTCATCGACCCAGCACTACGGTCATATCTCTGCTACCCTCTCCTCCTGGCCATTCACAAAACACCCCTCCACAGACTTTATATTGTAATGTTGTAAATGGCCAGGAGGAGGGAGGAAAGAAGTACAGGGCGAGCCCTACCAATACCTACATATAAACAAATAACATTTTTGGATGTAGAATAAAGCCAAGATGATGGAGGAGGTGGGGTGTTGCTTTTGTGGCAACTGGATTTAGAACTGCTTTAATCCTGGTAAGTTTTTTATGTGTTGTTGGCCTTTGATTTGGAAAACCCATGGTGGAAGAGTATCACCATCATTTGACTTTGTCAATGGCATGGGAGTTAGATGGAGCTGGGAAATTCACCGGGTTAATCTCACCACTGAAGTTCCACAATGAGATTTAAAAAAAAAACAGCAAGTGAAATAACAGTTTTGGTTAAAGTCTTCCAACCAGCAGGAAAAATTTAGAAGACGGAAACTAAAATTTTTCCCAAATCTTAAGCAAGCAGCAAATACAATAAGAAGCAAAAAAAATAAAAAATAAAAAACATTTGAAGCTGTTGAGTGACCGCACTGTAACTCTGTAACATTGAAATTGTTTTGCAGTCTGATCCATGAACTTAAAATGCGAGATAAAGATTTCCCTGATGTCAACGCTGGAGTGTACGTGTTTGAGGTCATCCCAGGAACTGCGGCTGCCAGGTGAGGAGGACACGGGAGGCCACTGGTCACAAGTGGAGACAAATATCAAGATGGTCACACTTTTTGCGGTTGATATTCAGTTGCGCTGCTGTAAACCGTCGCATATGTTTGTCTGATTTAGCAATCTGTTGCATTTTGTGTAGTAGATATGTTTCAGATACTATGAAGCTTCAATCTGCCACATTGTGCTTTTACTAGGCAGAACCAGGCTGTTGGAACTGCTGGGTAGCTGCTATGGTGGGAGCAGGGGTATCAGCAGATGGGCATGGCCAGCTAGCGTGGCACCCCAAGTTTCAGGCTCCAGAGGTTTTGCCTTGACCTGCCAGCTTGCTGCCGGCAATCATTTTTACAAAGATGCAGCTCTAGGAGGCAAAGGATGAGAAGAGCCATAGGGGTTTTGAAACTGTTTCTGCTCAAGCTGTGATGTGTCAGGCTGGGCTTTGATCTGCTGGCTGTATGCTGCTGGAGATCTGGTGCAGGACAGAGGCTTTGATCTCTGGCTGTCTACAGGGCAGGTTGGCCCCCCAAAGTGGAACCCCAGTATTTTGTTTTATTTCTGGGCACTATTTATATAAATAAAGAGTGCCAATATTCATATAACCATTCCATGCTCCAACGCTGCCCACGACTTCCTCCTCGTTCCAGCACTGGTGGTCCTCTTCAGAGCAGAGTGACATATCCTGTGAGCCCAACCTGTCATTTACATGCCTCCCTGTGGGGCAGCTCACTTACTCCAGGACTGAGCAATGCTCACAAATCATTACATGACTGTTGTTCACTCCTGGAAGAATGCCCCCCCCCTTCCTGGAAGAAGGGAGAAGAAGCTGCGGTGAAGTCACCAGACTGGCAAAAAGACAAAGGGTATGTATAGGGGTTTAAAAAAATATCTGGGGGAGGGGGCTTCAAGGGGTGAGAGGAGGCAAGTGGTATGCCTGGAGTAATGCTTTAATAGACCACAAGAGAGCAAAAAAGAGATGTTGTTTACTTATATTTTAACTATTCCCAACTGTATCCAAAACTAAGAAATAAATATGTTTTGCCTTTACATATTTATAATTTATAATCAATACAATGTATATCTGTGAACATTTGTTTTTTGTGCGAATAATGGCAAAAACAAACACTCTTACTATATTTTCTTTTTAGGTTGAATGTATTGCGATATAGTACCACAATATGGCCACTAGATGGAGCAGAGGAGCATAGGAAATTGAATACTTAGGGGGTTATTCACTTAGCTGCCGAAGGCAGCCAACTGAATAACCCAGCCGCCGTGAAGTGAGCCGAACGCTGTTCAGCTATTTACTTCTGGCTTGTACGGCTGATTTCAGCTAAAATTAGCCGTACATCAGCTGTCTTCGTTCAGCCAAACATGCTCTGCATGTTGGGCTGAGCCGAAGTGCAGAAGGACTCAGCCAAAGGACCTTTGACTCAGCTCCGGCAGCTCACTCGCTGCCGTTCGCCGCCGAGCAGCATTCGGCATAGCTATTCTGCTCGGCACCTCCGAGGTAATAAGCAGAATTAAAAAAAAGTTAAGTGAATTAATAATTATTTAAAAAATGTTTAAAAAAAAATAGGAAAATGTAAAATATATACAGGTGAAACTCGATTAATTAGAATATCGTGCAAAGTTCATTTATTTCACTAATGCAACTTAAAAGGTGAAACTAATATATGAGATAGACTCATTACATGCAAAGCAAGATAATTCAAGCCGTGATTTGTCATAATTGTGATGATTATGGCTTACAGCTCATGAAAACCCCAAGAACCCCAAATCCACAACCTCAAAAAAGTAGATTATTACATGCAATCAATAAAACAAGGATTGTACATAGAACAATATCGGACCTCTGAAAAGTACAAGCATGCATATGTACTCAGTACTTGGTTTGGGCCCCTTTTGCAGCACTTACTGCAATTACTTTTGCACGATATTCTAACTATTCGAGTTTCACCTGTATATGTATGTGTATATATATATAAAGAAAAGAAAAAAGAAAGATGAAAAAATAATAATTAAAAAAAGCTGCACGCCGACCCGACCGCAAGTGACGAACTCCCGTCACATAATGAAGCATCTGATAGATGCCTGCAAAATAAGAACAATTGGGCGGAGCTAGCGGTGACATCACCTCTAGCTCCGCCCAACTGTTTCCAATTGGCCGGCACCTGCCAGAGTCTTCTAGCAGGTCCTGGCCAATAAATAACAACTGTGAGGTCACAGCCGGCTCCGCCCAGTTGTTATTGACTACAGCTACTGAACCGAAGAGCTCAGGCGGCCCGAAGGATCAGCCGAAGCTACGGCTGCATCCTTCAGCTCTTTAGTGAATAATCCCCTTAATGCCTATGCTCCTCCGCTCCTTCTAGTGGCCATATTGCAGTATTACATCACAATACTGGGGACCTGAAAAGAAAATCTATTAATAAAGCTTGCTATTGACATTACTCACACAACACGACTGTTCACAGAGATTGTATTATAAATTGACCCATTAAGTAGTAAATCATTGCATAGACCAAATGTCAAAGGTAATGTGACTTCTAGAAGTGAGCCTATGGAGAGCAGACTAACGCATTGTTGTGTTGCCCTCTGCAGTGCGGGTATGAAAGACCATGACGTGATCATCAGCATCAACGGCAGATCAGTGAGCACCACAGAGGAGGTGAGCGAGGCTGTGAAGATCAGTGAGACTCTGTCTATCGTGGTGCGGAGGGGAAATGAAGATATCATCCTCAACGTTGTACCCGAAGAGATGGGCTAAGATCCCCCCTCCTCCCCCATTGCTTCAGATGTTCTTGTACTTCATCAGGATTTCTGACCTCTACAAAGTGCACTGTGCACAGAAGTTTTATACTTGGATTCAGATTCTGAACTCCCATTGGCTGGGACATGTCTCCTCCCCGGAATATTCCATTCCCACACTGGCTGTGGGGGAGGCTGACTGTACGTACTCACATATATGTAAGATTCCACTATGTATACGCAACTTCTGCTTTGCTAGAGGCAGCCCTACTAATTGTATGAAACCTTATACTTACCGAAGATACGAGGAATGGGACTACCACCAACACCTCCCGGCAGGGAATGACAGATCAAGCCATACATATGAAGTATACTACGACAACTCAAAAAAACAAAAGCAAGCTCAACAGTAGCCAAATATAACATACAACACGAGGGACCTCGCCATGAATTGTAAACGGAAAAACAAACACCAACAGATCTAATTTCAGCCGCGTAAACCAAAGTGCTTAACAGCAGTGTATTTTCATAGGTGTATTATATAGGTATAGCGCTGTGTAAAATCGTTATCATATATTACCTGTTAGTATTAATATATAAGCATGTGCGATTCCTGACAGTTCAGAGTGTATTGGGGTTCTGGGAAAGTTTCATAAATGCCCAAAACCAGCTCGCTCTTCATATGCTCACAGAGCCGGGGTCTGAACGTTGACACTGCAACCAAATGCTTCCATGGATGTGACCCTGAAAATAGCCAAAGTATACAGTAAAGTCAACTTCCATCGAAATCACTGATACCTTTTCATATGCTCCTCCATGTTGTCAAATTTGAAACCACACGTTGATCAGCACAACCCGAGTATGAAATGAAATGGTTACATATTAGTATATTATATTAATCCTTTTAAAGACCTTGGAAGGCAGGTACAGTAAACACGATCTTCTGGATGACGCGTTTCAACCACTCTGGCCTTCATTAAATCCATTGTGAACAAGTTCAACTGAGCATCCCTATTTCTAACTACCCTCTGATAGGCGTCCTGTGATCACCTGGTTCTAAGGGACTGGTTTCTCCTTTACTGCATTCTAAATTGAATAAATCTCTAAGTGGCAAGTACTCACGCCCAACCTCATGCTGACTTTAATTGCCAAGTCCTCATGCCCAACCTGTATACGCTGTACTCAACCTCATGCTGACTGGCAAGTCTTCATGCACAACTTCTATTCGCTGTAGTCAAACTCATGCTGACTAAGTGACAAGTCCTCATGCCCAACCTATGTATGCTGTAGTCAGCCTCATGCTGACTAAGTGACAAGTCCTCATACCCAACTTGTATACGCTGTACTCAGCCTCATGCTGACTAAGTGACAAGTCCTCATATCCAACTTGTATACGCTTTACTCAACCCCATGCTGAATTTAATTGGCACGTCCCCATGCCCAACTTGTATATGCTGTACTCCCTCTCATCCTGACTATGTGACAAGTCCTCATGCCCAACTTGTATACGCTGTACTCAACCTCATGCTGACTTTAATTTGTAAGCCCTCATGCCCAACTTTTATAAGGGGTACTCAACCTCATGCTGACTTTAATTGGCAAGTCCACATGCCAAACTTGTATACCCTGTACTCACCCATCTGAACTATGTTGCAAGTCCTCATACCCAACTTGTATACCTGTACTCAACCTCATGCTGACTTTAATTGGCAAGTCTCCATACCTAACCTCATGCGGACTAAGTAGCAAGTCCTCATACCCAACCTGTATGCCCTGTACTCAACCTCATGCTTACTTTAATTGGAAAGTCCTCATGCCCAACTTGTATTCCATGTACTCAACCTTATGCTGACTCTTTATTATGTGTTGCCAGGCCATAGTTAACGTGCCACTTTATTGGCCTTGCCAGTACCATGTACACATGAAATATGTCTCTTTGGCCTGCTAGATGAGGAGACCTACCCATGATATACCAGAGTGTTTTTACATAAGACTTTTTTTTTCCTAACTTGTTAAGCCATTGCTATTAAATGAATGAACCTCACCCCCTAGTCTGTCCCAATGGAAAACGCCAATCAACCAAGCCATCCCCTATGAGAAAGTAATCTATGACAAAAGAATTTTCCTGATAAAAGTCATAAAATCTGGGACCTCTGGTGTGAACTCTAGATTGAATATTCAGGAGCCCGTGGTCAGCTGTACAACAATTTTACTGCTCTTTTTTGTACGCCACGTAGAGTAGTTGTTACTTTGATTCTATTATGTAGATAATTTAAACAAGGCTCTTTCTTGACTTTGTTGAGAACATTCATTGTTATTTTACTTAAGAAAGGTTTTATTGCCTTCTGCACATATATGCCATGCAATGAGTCATGTCTACACCATGTTTCAATGTATGGATACAAGAAACAGTTTAAAAGATAGTGTGTCGGGTCATCTGCACACCTGCTATAACCTTACAGGACGGTGGTGCTAGTAGTGATGACATGGATGGCGCCATGTGGAACTCCAGTGAAGATCAGATAGTCACCAGCACACACACAATGTATCGTTGATCCTACCACATTTTATTAAATCACGGTCACCATTCGTCATACATAGCCAACGCTTCAGGGCCGCAAAGGGTCCCTTTCCCCATGTCGCCCTGAGGAAGGGACCCTACGCAGCCCTGAAACATTGGCTATATATGACAAATGGTGACAGTGGTTCAATAAAGCGTAATAGGATCAATGATGCATTGTGTGGGTGCTGGGGACTATCTGATCATCTTTACAGTTTAAAAAATGACATCACCTGTATGGTGCCACGTTCTGCCATTTAAGCCAGCCAATTAAACTAAATCAAACATAGTAACTAAAGACCTAAGGAGAAGGAACCAATGTATTTCAGATTATATAGTTTTGTTGTATATTCCGGTTGTGTTGATCAATTTGTGGTTTCAGTCTGAGAAAATATGCTCAAATAATCGCTATACAAGTTTATAACATAAGGCCTTTTTTTTCCCTACATTACCTGCAAATTGAATCGGATTAAAAGGAAGCAGAACCTCCCCATTATTGTGTGGGAATACATCAAGGCTACAACCTGTGGTGCTGTGGTGCAAAGGTTTGTTGCAAGCCAAAGCAGCCATAGTCTGCAGCAGTATTATGGGCTTGGGCAGAAAAACGTGGCTTCCAATTGGCTGCTCTGGGCACCTGCATTTTATATTCTAAGCGTTGCCTTCCTAAATAGCAGCCATCTGTGTGCTAGAAAAGGACTCTGAGGAAAGGCATAAAGAGGCAAAAAAGAACTACAGGGTTATTCCCAAAAGGGTGAAGAGTTTGGAGAAGGCAGAAGGGAAAAATCTAGGACAACATATCTGAACTGGAAAATGTGATGAATTGGAGAAGTTTTCCAAATCAGCTATGTTGTCCTGGATTGTTCCCTTCTCCAAACTCTTCACCCTTTTGTGAATAAGCCTGCAAGACACTGGCTATGCCAGAATTTCAAAAAGTCTAACCCTGCAAGACACTGGCTATGCCAGAATTTAAAAAATTCTAAATTGGGTTCAATCTTAGTGGGGGTTTAATGGCTGTGCAAAGATGACTTTTAAAGCCTCCCATTTAGAAAAAGTGATCCAGTATTTTTCATAAGATGATTACAATATTGCTCAGCCCCTCAACATATGCTACTCTGACATAAGTGGAGCAGGTGACTTTGTTGGGTGGGATGAGGGACATTGGGAGGAAGGATGTAGGACTATGGTCTGAACGTTGACGCTGCAACCAAATGCTTCCATGGATGTCCATGGAAGCCAAAGTATACAGTAAAGTCAACTTCCATCGAAATCACTGATACATTAAGACATTTTAAAGTGACATATCCCCCGTAAGTGTTGCTAATCTCACACATATCCATCACGATGTGACTTGTGTCACCGTCTCCCACGTGCTTCCCGCACAAAAATCCCAACATGACGCAAGTCATCCCAGGCATGGAGTCTGAGAAGTGTCACACATAATCGCAATACTACTATCATCATTTTTCAGACAATTAAAAAGTTATTGGCCGCTCCCAAGCCCTTTGTACTCTGTCACTCCCCTGGTTGATCGGGTGTCAAAGCCAAGCAGAGGCTTGTTTTTGCCCCAAACTTTCAGTAGATCCAAAAGAAAGACGTCTGCAACAAGCTTTACTTTTATGGACAAGCAACACATAGCCCCACCTGGGACAACCTCCTCTGATGCATTTCTTTAAAACTGGGCTCAATTGTAGTAGTTAGGCCCAGCTTTGTGAGAAATTGATCAGAGAAGGAGGTCCCAGGCTTTGTGTTGCTCTCCCGCAATGATAAACGTTGCATGCATTGGATTTTATGAGGTGTCAATGACTTCTTTCTTTTGGATCCACAGATAGCTTGGGGCAAGGGTGAGCACCTGCTTGACTTTGCCCCTTGGTCAGGCAAGTGACCCAGCACAAAGGGCTATGGACTGGCCAACAACTTTTGCTTGTCTGAAAAATAACAGCGTGGGATGTGTGTATGATAAATGTCGGAACCATGCCAAGCTTCACTTGTGTTGGATTGTAACAGAATGCCACCAGCTTCATTCTTTTGGATCTACTGATAAAAGACAACAAAAACAGGCCAACTGAGGTTCTAACTCTTCCCCATTCTATCCAAAACAAAGAAACGGCTGGGATTCTACTTTACTTTTTATTTTCTTTGGCACTACACACATAGCACTTGGAATCTGACTGGTACCTCTGGCCAACCCAGATATCTCTTCAAATGTTGTTTATATTATCTTCCAGGATTAGTCTACCCCAAAGCCAATGCTTCATTTTTTTGGCCCTTGTTGGTTAAGCTGGCCATGCACTGCTTTTTGGCTGACTTGATCAAGTGTGTGGCCCTGCAGGCACCCCTCCAGTTGACAAAAGTTGGCTTTTGTCAAAGGAGCTGTAGCCAAAAATTGCCGGCCAATCAGCTGCAGTCACTATAAGTGTGGTGGCGAGTGCCGGCGATTAGAATACCGTAGCCAGTGGGGAAGATCCCCCATTCACATTGTTTAGCATGGATGGGGGAATCAAGCATTTGGCCGAGGGTATGGCTAGCTTTAGGCTCCATGGGTGGTCCAACCGACCCACTCAGATGCCCAATGCTAGTCTATGGGCAGCCGGGTCTAAATGGACGGGGGTCCGTTTACACCCAGCTACCCCTGACTCTGGCCAGGTCCAGGAAACCAAACGGAACAGTGTTCCATTTCGATGGTCCTCATCGTGCCGGATCGGGGGAGGGTCTAATCTGATGTAAAAAAAAGAACCTGTAGTGAAATTTGGTATGGGAGGAGCTGGGGACTCAGATGCAGAGCTGGGTTATGTGGGAGACATGCTAATGGGCGATGTAACTTACTCTGATCAAAAAGCTTTCTAAATCTACATGTAAAACTGGTCATCATGAATGCTGTGTCTCCGCGTCAGCCTCTATGTGCTTTATCTGGACTTGTTTTGCTATTTCAATGAACAAAATTAATTGTATGTAAATCTATATTATCGCAATCTTTAGCTATTTAGAATAATTGTAGTGTAAAAAAAACAAATTAATCATCAACATATGTGGCATTTGAGTTACAAGTTTACATATACGTATATATTTGAATACTTTGTATTTTCTTTGTATGCAAAAACAATGACATATATACATGTAACTCTCCTGTATTATGGTGTAATTACATTATACTAATACAATCACGTTTTGTTACATACTAGATCATCTTTTGTTTAGCCGTTCTTGGTCAGGATAAGGTGAAACTTTCCATCCCCCCCCCCGACATGAAACCTTCGTGGTTCACTCATTCAGTTGTTTCAGACACAGTCCTCCTTTCCCTTTAACTGGAATCCCAAGCAAACTAAAACAGTGCTGCTAATATGCAAATTCTGACTTTTTGTTCGAAGTCAAGAGCTGAACCCTCATCTCCATTGCTTACCTTGCAACTCACAGGACTTAAAGTGACATTAAACCCTCAGATTTTTTAACATAAACCAATACTGTAATGTGCGCCTTACTGTAATCCATGGTAGTTTCCCTTCTCTTTGCTGCTCTTCCTTTTAAATCCTCATGTCTTCTCATGCTGGGGGAGAACTTCCCTTTGCAGCTGAGTGCCTCTTCCTGTAGTGCTGGCTCAGGTTGTGAACCTACACACAGACACCATGTATCCATTTCAGAGACAAGGCAGTCTGCTGCAAAACAGAAGTTCTGCCCAGCATGAGAAGAGAGAAGGATTTAAAAGGAAGAGCAGCAAAGAGAAGGGAAACAACCACGGATTACAGTAAGGCGCACATTACAGTATTGGTTTATGTTAAAAAATCGGGTTTAATGTCACTTTAAAGGATTAACATGGCGCAGGTGGGCCATGGTGAAAAGAGCGCTCCTAGTGTGAGAGGGGGTGACTCTGATGTGAAAGGAGGAGGTTCCTAATGTGATAGGGGCACCTGATGCAAAGGGGGACACTGATGTGAAGAAGGAATCACACTTTTGTTTTTGCATGCGGACCCAACTTAACCCCTTCATGACCGAGCTTGTTTCTACTTTCTGTTCCTTAATGACGGAAGCACTTTTGACATCTTTGCTGTGTTATTTTCCACATCAGTAATATACTTTCTTACAAAGTGCACTCCACACATATTATATATTGTTTTTAGAGGACAGATAGGGCTATACATGTACATCACATATGTGTGCCTAACGCCTCACTTAGGACAAATAAATCATAAAAACACATAAAGAAAACACTTTCCCCAGTTTTGATTTTTAGTATTTTTTTACAAAAACAGCACAGCTAAAAAAAATGCAATAAATACATTCATTTATTTGTCATTTATTTGGAAAAACCTCACATCCCGAGGATTTTAGAAAATGTGTCTGTACTAAACTAAAACATAAAATGTAATCTTTTTTTCTCTAAAAGCGGTCACCTGGCATACAGTGTCACTGTCACCAAGTGCCACACTCAGTGACAGCGACATACTTTGAACATCACTGTCATGAGGGGGTTAAAAATAATAATTAACCCCTAAGGGTGAAAAACAAATCTGCAGATTTTCATTGTAAGGGGTTAATTTTTATATACAATGATAGTATGAAAATATTTAAATATATCATTTTTATTTGCTACATTTGTTTCCACTTTTCACTATTTAAAAAAAAACATTTTTTACATTTTAAATTATATCAAGCAGTCATTGTGAATTAATCTCACCATTACTGCTTGATAAATTCATTAATTTTTGGTTATTATTAGGCTGCTTCAAACTTATGAACAGCCAATAATAGCCTTAGTGACACTGATCCTGCAGCATTTCAGGGTCAGTTGTCACTAAAGGTTTTCTGATCGTTCTAACCATCAGAAAACTGCAACATTGTTTCAGGAATTAGATACATTATGTTTCTGTTGCTGAAAGTTTACATTTTTTAAAATGCCGGTATACATGGGGATTTCCCGATCTATACCAGATGTCAAAGTGACGGCAAGAGCTGCAAATGCGGCTCTGCTCTCACTCTCAGACACCCAACTCCTGAAAGGGATCGGGTGTCTGAAAACGGTTAACTCTTTCATTAACGGATGCCTCAATACTGACCCATCCATTAAAAAGGAGAACTATGGGGTCAGGGCTTTTCCCCAAAGTTCTCCTTAGGGTAACGGGAGGACACAAACTAGCGTCCTCCCGTCACCCTAAGCTCAGTATATAGCAAGTTATAGCTCGCAGTATACTGAGACCCCGCAGTTGAAGCGGATCCCGACAATTAGGTCTGGTTCCGCCCAGCTACGTGAGTGACAGCTGGCTCTGCCTATCTAGAGGCAGAGCCAGCTGTACCCGCCCCCTCCCGTTCCGCCAGTCAGCGCTGGAGGATCGGAGCGGAGAGGGGGGCATCCAGCCCCTTCCCTGTCACGGCAGAGAGCTGTGACAGGATCGAGAAGTGAGCGAACGCCGGTATGTGTTCGCTCACTTCCCGATCTACTGAGCCGACCTGTGACAGTCTCATTGTCACAGGTCGGCTAGAACTACGAGGTGAGTGAAAAGCACTCCTTTAATGAATGGTAACCTCTGATTCTCAGCGGTTACCAGCATTACAGAGTTGCAAATAACTGGTCATGTACAGTGTACGTGGCCAGTCATTTGGTCACTTCGTGGCAGGACGTACAGTGTACGTCACCTGTCACGAAGGGGTTAAATAACCATACCAGACCCCTAATCTCAGATAAGGGCCTGGTATGGATTTTGGAGGGTCCACGTGTCATTTTTGTACATTTCAGACCTAGGTGCCTTGAGATTTCACATACTTTTAAAGGGTAACATGATTGAAGAAAAGAAAAAAAAAAAAAGGTTGTGAAATGCTGCTACACTATTGTGGGGTAATGAATAGGCGGAGTCTGCAAACAATTCCATTAAATTACATTTATTACAGTTCCAGAGAAGATATCATATTTACATCATTGTATCTTACATACGAGTGCAGCGGTGAAAACCACTTCCATCTTTTGTCCTTGTGATATCGGTCTCAGCCGAGCAGAGTCTGCAGCCGGAAGTCTCATACAGATTGCAGCGTCCCTATGGATCGTCTCTATATCAGTATATTGTACACCAGTTGCTGTTGTCACTGGGCATGAGCCCCCCTGTGATGAGCAAGATAAGATCTACAAACCACCAGATGCCCAGACCTCCCAGAGTCAGGAGCTTGCCCACAGCGGTGCCCGTGTGTCCCAGGCAGAAGCGATCTACTCCGAAGCAGCCCAAGAAGAAGGAGTACAGCAGCGTGGTGATGAAATAGTGGCCTGTGTACCTGTGCAGAGACAATGTACAGGGGTTGAGAACCATGACCTCACGCAGTACAGCTTCTGAATTCCAGGCAGATATAAAGAACACAAATGAATGTATCACCAAATGTATTCTGCAAGCGCAGTAAGTATCTGGATCTATCTTCAGATCAGTCACTTGCAGTACCCGTACAGCAGAGTTCCGACTGGGGGAGGGGGAAGCAGCACAAAGAGTCAATCAGTTGTCCTGTTGGGTTTGTGTGCAAACGTAAATGCTTACAGGAGGAGAGAGCAGAGTGTTGGAGACAAGTTCATCAGTTTACCGTTACTCCTTTACAGTCCAGTCACAAACTGGGGAAGGAACAAGACTTGCAAATGTAGCTTAGCTGCCGCCAGGAAACATTAGGTTTTCTCCCTGTTGCCAAATGTTGTCTTTACACTGGAAGCACTGAGGAAGGCTGGTAAGCTGCCTGATCGCTTCCAGGAGCTGGCAAACACGTGCCCCCACCCCCCTGCCTTGCTTCCTGCAAGCTGCTGTGCTAGAACTCCTAAATTGGAGGTGACAAGGTCAATAAAGAGAACCTGTCACCTCCAATTTAGGAGTTCTGCCCCTGCTGCAGGCCCGGGACTTCCATCATGAGCGTTGGTGGGAAGTGGGGAGAGAGACTTCCGGTTTTCCAGCGGTCATTCCCTGGCTAGAGGAGCTTGATTACTCTCAATGGGCTGCAAAGGTGACATTAGGGGTCTAATTGACCCCTAAAGTCATCTTAAAGAGAACCTGTCATCAATAATATGCTATCATATAGGAGACTTGTAAGCCCCCTTTATGTGACAGAAATGTAAAAAAGAAAAAAGGTTTAACCACTTCAAGACCAGGTGTTTAGACCCCCTTCCTGGCCAGGCCATTTTTCAGTGTTCAGCGCTGCAGTCCTTTGACTGACGTTTATTCCGTCATGCAACGCTGTACTGAAATGAATTTTAGACCATTTTTTGGGGGTATTTAATCACCACTGGGGTTTTTATTTTTTATTATAATTAGCAAAAAAATTACAGAAAATTTTGAAAAAAAAATGTTTTTTTTTTTTTACATTATGTTAGGAAACATTTATTATTAACCAGTTTTTTGGTAAAATATAAAAGATGGGGTCATCTAAACTGATGACCTACATGGCCTTTTAAAGTGTCAACTTTGGACAACTGGGGGTACCACATTTGTTTGAAGTTTCAGGGACAAACCCAATTTTTAAGCTTGGCGTGTTGCGGATGTTAGGGATGAACCGACACCGCTACCACCATCTGTGCCAATACAGAGTATTTAGGAAAGTACTCGTATTCGCTCAAATGATCCCGATGCCTATTCAGATACTGTAACTTCCTGTATCAGGAAGCCGGGCAGTGAGTCATTACACGCTGCCCGGCATCCTGATTGGCCAGGAAGCTAGCTCAATGCATCCTCATCACCAAGTGACGAGGGAGCAAAGAGCTGGCTTCCCAGCTAATCAGGAAGCCAGGGGGGGCGGGTAATGACTCACCCCCCCGGCGAACCCTGATTTGCCGGAAAGCCTGTTCTATGCTCAATTGTCACCAGCTAATTGGCCAATGAGGAAGCTGTAGGCCCCCCCCGGCTTCCTGATTAGCTGGGAAGCCAGCTCTTTGCTCCCTCGTCACTTGGTGATGAGGATGCATTGAGCTAGCTTCCTGGCCAATCAGGATGCCGGGCAGCGTGTAATGACTGGCTGGCGAGTTTGCTGACTGGTCGAGAAGCAGGCTAATCAGGAAGCCATGCAGCGATTCATTACCTGCTCCCCGGCTTCCCGATTGGCCAGAAAGCCGTCTTCATGCTTCCTCGTCACCTGATGACAAGGGAACATGGAGATGGCTTCCCGGTTAATCAGAAAGCTGGGCGGCGAGTCATTACACGCTGCCCGGCTTGCTTAATGGAACTTCTGGTATCGGTGAGTACCGACATTTTTTTTTATCAGTGCTCGATACCGAAAAAACGGTATCGGTGCATCCCTAGCATCTATTAACTCATCTTTTATATTTTACAAAAATACTGGTTATTATTGTGGGGTTTTTTGCACTAAAATTAATCTAAGTGTATTTTTTACTGGAATTTTTGGCTAGATAAACAGTTACACTAACATCGTGCAAAAAAAAAAAAATTTTTGCAGCTGCCACCATTTTATTCTAACACGTCAATTTTTTCAGGAAATATATCATTTTGGGGGTTTAAGTAATTCTGAGGTTTAACCACTTGAAGTCCGCGGTGTTAAACCCCCTTCCCATCCAGGCCATTGATCAGTCTTCAGCACTGCGGTACTTTGACTGACATTTACTCCGTCATGTAACGCTGTACTGAAATGAATCTTATACCATTTTGTAGGGACAGATAGAGCTTTATTTTGGTGGTATTTAATCACCACTACGGGTTTTATTTTTTACTATACTAAAAGGAGAAATATGGGGTTAAGGCTTTTCCCCATAGTTCTCCTTTAAAGGAAAAATTACCGAAATAAATAATTTAAAAAAAAAAACGGTTTTCCCTATATTAAATGGTAAAACATTATTACCCAATTTTTTGGTAAAATATAAAAAAGACGGGGTCACGTCGGGTAAAAAGACAACAAACATGTCATGCTTTAAAATTGCGTGCGCGCGCAAAACCTCAAAAAACGATAATACCCAAAATTGACCATAGGCGACGCTTTAAAAGCTTCAATCGCTCATCAGTTTAGTGTTATCAGTGATTGATGGCCCTAAAATGATTGCTCTCACTGCGACGTTCGCGGCAATATGTACCGTGTGTTTTTGTGCGCTGGTGCACCAGGCGCGTATTTACGTTTATATATGCGTAAACGTGGGGGTGGGGGACTTAAACATTTTTTTAATTTAACTTTTTTTTTTTTTATATGTGACTTTTATTCTATTTACTATATATATATTTTTTTACACTTATTGCTATTACATAGGGGGAAAACAATCCCCCTATATAATAGAACAGGCACACTGAGGAATGCAGATTATACGATGTGTGCACAATAAAGCACATAGTGCAAGGGTTGAATGCAAGTATTGCAGCATAAAGGGCCGGATTTACTCTCCCTGCTGCCCCAAGGCCAGGTTCCGCAATGCGCCCCCCCTCCCCGCCAACCCCCTCCCAATGGAGAACGGCAACCAGATGGCAGGGCTAGTTTTAATTTTTTTGATTGTTTCTTTATTGTTACTTTTTTAAATTTTCATTTATCTTATCGTTTATTTTTTTATAATTTTTTTGATCTTATTATTGTTTAATTATTTTCTTATTTTTTAATAATTTGTTTCTTATTATTTTGACTTTTTAATCACCTATTTATTTATTTCTTCTTTTTTTTTTACTTATTTAATAATTAAAATCAAACTTTTTCCCCCCCCACCTAACTTTATTGCTATCACACAGGAGCTAACAAGCCCCTGTGTGATAGCAATTAGAGAGGTGACAGGTTCTCTTTATCGACCCTGTCACCTCCAATTTAGGAGTTCCAGCACAGCACTGTGCTGGAACTCCTGTGACAGGGGAAGACTGCTCTCCCCTCTCACTGTGTACACGGAGCTCGCTGCATCGGCGGCCAGTAAGAGGAGAGAGGTAGGTGCAGAGGGGGAGGGGAGGACGGACGGAGCAGCTGCAGACTTTTTACAAGTGATCTCTGCGACATCGCCGAGATCACTTATAAACGTACAATCGGCTGTCTCACTCTACATTTAGTCCTGCTTGTGCAAAGCAGGACTAATGTAGAAAGCAACTTACCTCCTGGCGCCTGGAACTTCCCCACAAGGACACCGCTGCCGCCCCTCTGCGCCCTGCCACCCCGAGGCCGGGCCTCTGTGGCCTTGTGGGGAATCCGGCCCTGGCAGCATAGCTTTTTTTTTTTTTTTTAAAGGACTGTTTCTTTAAACTGACCACTGAACTCTCTCTGTTTAAACCCAACGGCCTCTTCATACCAACGGCCTCTCACTATGAAGGTTTACATACACTTTGTTGCATGAGTGAATCTCTCTGTTCATGAGACAATTCCACCCGTTGTACTGGTAGGAGGGTAGAAACGAGCTCCTGATACATACTTGATACACGGCTTATTCCCACGTTGAAAGGAGCGAGGTCCAGCACAATCAATACCATCCAGAGCATGGCACATGACTTTCGTATGCTCCACGTCACTGTACGCCTGTCCTCCAAACTGAGGAAGAAACAACACGTTATTGTCAGGGAATCATAGACTGAGACAACATGGAAGAAACACAATTCGCACGGCCTGCTCTTCCCATGCACAGCGACCGTCACCCTGACGGGACATATTTACTAAAGCCGTGAGGCCGTCAGAGATGTGCACCATACAGCCTACCCAGAACTGCACGGCCTTCTCCTTCAATACATTTACACCGGGGAAGATTGTCTTCTGCGCATGTACATCACTTCAATGGAAGACCATTAACATCTGCACATGGGCCTTACACTGAAATGTGAGGTGCGCCTACTAGAGGCAGTGATTGGCTGGAAAGATTTAGAAGAAAAGGCTTTACGTGCACATTGGATATCGCTGGAGCACTGCAGTTTTCGGGAAGTATATCTGATAAGAGTGATGATCACCAGGAAGTGGATGGGACCCCAAGGATAAGTGCACTCATATGCGATTCTCAGGGCTTGAAAAATTTGATGGTGTCTCACCAGTCAGTCAAAAATGTCACCAGTCAGCATGACCGGATTATAGCTTTGCAATTTAAGTTAACATTTTTTGGGGACAGATAGAGCTTTCTTTTGGAGGTATATTATCACCACTAGGGGAGGGGGGGTGTTTGTTTGTTTTTTTTACTATATAATGAAAAAAGTACCATAAAAGTAAAAAAATTAAAAGTTACCCTACGTTAGGTTATAAAACATTAGGGATGCACCGATACCGATACTAGTATCGATATCGGTGCCGATTCCGAGTATTTGGGCAAGTACTCATACTCACCCAAATGCTCCGATGCCTAGCATGAGAACTTCTGGTATCAGGAAGCCGGGCAGCGCGTCATTACACGCTGCCCGGTTTCGCGATTGACCGGAAGCTGGCCTTGTGAGGTAAGGTTACCTTACCTTAGTATGTGCAGCCTGTCATCCCCCGGGGCCTCTCCAGCAAGAATGTTGCCTTCGTCGGGTACCCAGCCCGAGCCGTCCAATCAGGAAGCCGGGCGCCGTCTAATGACGCGACGCTCTACTTTCTGGATGGCCGGGAAGCTGGCTTCATGCTCCCTCGTCATCTCATGACAAGAGAGCATGGAGCCGGCCTCCCGGCCAATCAGAAAGCAGGGCGTCGCGTCATTACACGGCGCCCGGCTTCCTGATTGGCCGGCCAGACGGCTCCAGTTGGTTACCGGACGAAGGCCGCGTTCTCGCTGGAGAGGCCCCGGGGGTGACAGGCTGCACATACTAAGGTAAGAGGGGACTTTCTTGTTAATCGGGAACCCGGGTGGCAAGTCATTACACGCCACCTGGCTTCCTGAATGGCGAGTCATTACTCGGTAATTGGAATCGGCGAGTACCGAAAAAAAATTATCGGTACCAAAATACCGGTATCGGTGCATCCCTATAAAACATTTATTCTTACCCATAATTTTAGTAAAACATAAAAGACGGGGTCACGTCGGGTAAATAGACACCAAACATGTCAAGCCTTAAAATTGCGCGCGCCGGCAAAAACGCCCATAGGCGACTATTAAACCGCTTTTACCGCTCATCAGTTTAGTGTTATCAGTGATTAATGGCTCTAAAATTATTGCTCTCACTCTGACGTTTGTGGCGATATGTAACATGTGTGGCACAATCGTCGTTTTCGCACATAGGCGCGCCCGACGCATATCTGCGTGTGTATGTAATGGTCGGGGACTTAGAAATTTTTTTTTTATTTTCTTTAATGTTTGTATTACTTTTTTTTTTTCACACAACTTTATTGCTATTACATGGGGGACTAAGAAGCCCCCTATGTGATAGCCAATTAACATGACAGGTCCTCTTTATGGAGACATCAGGGGTCTCCAAGACCCCTAATGTCACATAGGGACTCCCGGAGAAGCTGATGAAGCAGAGATTCCAGCTTCATCAGCTGGAGAGTGACACTGAATGCAGGAAGTGATGTAATATACATCACTTCATGCATTCGGGGACTGAGAGGAGATCAGAGGGAGTTCCTGTACTGAACTCCCTTTGATCTCCTGTCACAGAGCCGTGCCGGTCCCGGCCCCACCGGGCACAGCGGACCTCGGGACCGGCAACGGCATTGACAGCTGCTAATACAAGCGATCGGGCGTCTCTAGAGACTCCCGATCTCTTGAATGTAAAGCTCCCGGCCGGCCGTGTAATTACAACGGCCGGCCGGGAAGCTGCTCGTCGGGCTCCACCGTCCTCGTAAACCTCCCATGTTGGATTCATACATATACTGTATATCCAAAAGAGAAAATGTCACCTCTCCCATACCGGGCAAAGCGAGAGCCTTTGCAAAGGGGCCCAACGCAATGATACTGGCCTTGCCAGGTTCCCCTGCTGCTCCTTACTTCATCTCAACCGATAGTAAATCCCTACTGTCAGACGATAGGGCAATCAGTGACATCACTCCCTCTGTCAATGGACAGTGCTAGTTTGTTGCAGAACAAACATTTCAGTCACCACAAAATAAACGGGGGGGAGAGGATATTCAATGGGGGCAATTTATCATAGCAATTGCGAGTGTTTGAACTGGCATGTGTTCGCATGGGATATATTTGCGCCAGATTTATGAGGTAGTGTAATGTTGTTCATAAATTAGATTAAATAGACTCCAGGAAAGAAGACTCGCAGCTCTGGGCAAAACGCTTAACTGTTGCTTCTGGTCATGGTTGCAATTGCTTTGTTAGGTGATTGCTCCAGTTCCAGACAGCCGCAGGACAAGTGCAGATGTAAACAGTTACGAACTTTATGCCAACCTTTCAGACCGCATGGACCACTAAATTCAGAATGTTAAATCCCGCGGACCACTAATATGAATTTAAAAAAACTAATATATATAAGGTACGGGTGTGCCTGCAGGAGTGGCAGTGCTGGTGGAGGGAGCTGTGCCACCCGCCCCGGCCCAGTAATATTAATTGTTTCCCCCCTATCGAATCTGCCACTTGCCCTACCAGCGGCGCCCGGGCACATGCCCCCCCTAGCTTCAGCACTGCCCCTAACCACCCCCGTGCCTCCCCTTCCCCCACACTGAGCCACTATTACCTGGCTTCTCCCCACTTTTTCTACGTCCCGCAGCCTGCTCGGTCCGGGTACTGACGAGATGCCCCGCCTCCTGCAGAGCCCGCACTGTACTGAGTACGGTGCATTCCTTGTGACAGCCGCTGCTTGAGTCAGCCTCAGTGCCGCTTCAATGACAGCCCAGCATCAGAGGGGCCCGGGACCACAAAAATGTTCTCACGGGCCACCGGTTGGCGACCGCTGATCTAAGAGGCTAAAACAGTCGCAATTGCTTTGATAAATTCCCCCCAATGTATTTATACAGTAAATTCCGGCCCCCCAGCTGTGCTTTAGCTACAAATCCCAACATTCCTCTGCCTCTGGAAGTCATGCCTGTAACTGCCAGTCTTGCAATGCCTCATGGGAGTTGTAGTTTCGACAACAGCTGGCGTTGCCCATCGCTGATTTAGATGATTACTCCCAACATTTACCTTGGTGCAGCCATAGCCAACCTCTTGCTGCATGGACACATTTCCTGTATGGTCCATCGGGTCCTCGCAATGTATGAACTCTTCTGGTCTAAGAAGTATAAAAGGAATAAAAACTGTAAAGGATTGTACAAATGGTGGAGGAAAGACGGTCAGAGACACCGAGTTCTGCATGGCATTCATTTGTATTGTGCACAGAATCTACCCGCCTGCTATCTTAAAGACCAATTTCAGTTTAAGAAGGCTGACTACATTCCGGATGCATCAAAACAAGTCTTTAGAAAGCAGCCACAACCTGAGTAGAAAAGTCTGTGCCCTGCCAGCATGCTGCAGAAAAGGACCCTTTCTCTCTGTGTGGAAGCAGTGGGGTCCCCGCAGAAGTCCGACACCCCCCCCCCCTTATAGTCAGAGCCAAATCCTACAATCAGCCAGGAGCATGGGGTGTGCTGACTGGCGGTGTCCTAGCAGCCGAGGACGCCGCGTGGCCCCGGGTGCCAGTGTCCTAGCAGCTGAGGACGCCGCGTGGCCCCGGGTGCCAGTGTCCTAGCAGCCAAGGACGCCGCGTGGCCCCGGGTGCCAGTGTCCTAGCAGCCGAGGACGCCGCGTGGCCCCCGGCTACCAGTGTCCTAGCAACCGAGGACACCGTGTGGCTCAGGCTGCCAGTGTCCTAGCAACCAAGGAAATGACAGAGGGGGTGGAACAGAGGTATTCACATGCCCCCTCCCCAGGTTTCTTTAGTGATTACGCTGGTCCTGGGCAAGGCGGCAAGAAGCAGAGTCAGAGACAAGTGCTAGCTCATCTTGGAAGTCATGTAGAAGGACGGGATAAGGTTCTTCATGCACTTTGTCCCAACTTGCACTTTGAGCAACAAAAAGTCAATGAGACTTCCTCTTTTCACTGATATGATGTTAGTGTTCTCTGCTCAATAGTCTAAGCGAATAACATTCACAAACACACACCTCCATGGTCTGACTCTCTCACCTACAAGCATGAAATGTGCAGCGTTGTCACCCTTCCCTGATACTCACAAGTACTCGCACAGGACGTTGGGTCCCATGGGGTCTCTGTAGTCGGGCACGGGGTTGGTGATGGGCTCTGGGGAGGACGCCGGGCTTGTTTGGTTCTGGGAGGCGATGAGGGAGAAGGTGAGCAGCAGACCCTGTCCACCCAGCAAAAGGTAAGTCATCGGCGGCATCGGCCACCCCATCTTCCTGCCGCAGCACCGTGAACCCGCACTGCGCGGCTTCTTCCGCCAGGACTCCACCCAGCCAATCACAGAGCAGTCAATGACGTTTCTTACGCGACCTTACGCAGCCTCACGCAAACTCTGGCTTCCGCTAATGTGAAGTCTCCACTAGGGAGCCATTTTGCTAGCGTCGAATGGATCTGTAACAACGGTATTATGGTCTCCGAGAAAATGGCCTCTCTAGGACAATAGAGCAACTAAACTAAATATTTACTAGTCTCATGAATGTTTATCTCAAACTGTAAAAAGACACATTCCAACCAAAAATGTGTAATGTGCAATAAATAAAATAAATCTAATAGCTGTATGTGGTTTCTTCTTTTAATTCTAGTATTTTTTATTTTAATTTTATTGATAGCTTAATATTACAAAGAGTGATTTCAACCGCCACCTTTTAGGCCTTCTTGATATGAGGCAGATTTTTGCGGCTGGCGTCACAGGTGGCTCCGTACACCCGCGTCTGCTCAACCTGTCCAAAGTAACAAGGGGCTGACAGCGACCGCAGCAGTCCGCCAGTGTTCTGAGGCAATCGTTCACGGAGGGAATACCCTCGGTTAGACAGATGATTGCCCCAGCATGCAATCTGCACGGGTTCTACCACAGGAGACCAAGAAGCAAAATATTGTTCTTACTTTATTTAAATAACCAGCAGGAACAGATTTTGTAATGATGCTTTTTAACTTTTTTTTCCATCTCAGAGCTGCTGATCTCCAGCCTTTTCACGGCCACTTCCTGTCTATGTGCACCCACCCAAGCAGCTGCTGCATGCCATTGCTGAGGGTGGGTTTGCTAACGATTACAATGGTGAAACATGCCTGATCAATGAATGGCGGCACAACTGCCTATAGTCATCAATAAAAGCACATGGGATGGCGGTATTTTTTGTGCCATGAAGCGGACTATGCTGTTAACCCTTTCGCTGCCACAATCATATGTACTATGTACTACACCCAGGGCAAAGCTGCCCTGTAAATTGACTCCTAGTTGCTATAGCAGACGGAAGTCAGTTTACTTTCAGTAACCTGACTTTTGGTTGTGAGCTGGAATTGATTGCATCGGTTGTAAAGCTGCCTGATCACTTCCAGGAGCCCTGCAGCATGCTGCGCCCACCCTCCATGTATCCCAAACTCCACTGCCTCTCCTGCAGGCCCAGGTGTTGTAAAACTGTCCAATAACTTCCAGGAGCCCTACAGTATGGTCAGGGATCTCAAGTCTCCCTGATGTTCAGGGAGTCTCCCTCTTTTGGACAGCAGCTCCCTGATGTCCGCGAGAGAGGCATTTTCTCCCTGAAAGGTTTACTCTGAGTAAACATTTCCAGTCAGATATCAGTGGGTAAGGTTTCAGAGTGAGGCTTGCCTCCTGGAGGAAGGTCATGTGATCTCTAGAGTTGCCTCAGGACGAGGCTTGGCTCTCAGAAGGAAGAAGCTACTTGCTGCACAGAGAGGGCGGACATAGACTACTATTGAGAGCAGGTACCGGCACTGCTGCAGGGTTGAGAGAGTGCTGTTAACCCTTTGATGATCACCCCTCCGTTCAGAAAACCTGGAGGCGACGAGGATGTTGTCACTTCCAGTTTCAGCGCTGTCATTCCCCGACCGCTGTGGATGGGGATGGCGCTAAGCAAGCACAACCTGTGATTAATTAGCTTAATTGGGCTGCAAAGGTGCAAACAGGGATCTTATAGACCACAAATATTTCCGTAAAGAGAACCTGTCACCCTCAATGTGCCATCACGTTGTCAGCCTCTCTATGTGATAGCAGCAAGGTTGAGTGTACAAAAATAAATAAATGTTAAAATACATGAAAAAAAAACACCCTTGTCCCCACGCACACACACATACAAGCATAAACACATGTGGTAATGACAATTGTGTCACGCATGTTGGGTACTATTGTACACGCCGGACTGAGAGCAATAATTCCACGGCCATTATTCACAGTTAACTCTAAATAAGGAATTGCCGTATGTAATGTGCTGGGTAAATTGTCGGCGCTATACAAATACCAATAATACAAATTAGGGATGCACCGAAACTTCGGAACATTGCGGCCGAAATGGTACTATGGGCAAAATGCTGATAGTACCAAAATGGGCGAAAATGCGGCCTTGACCTCTCTCCTCCCCTCTGGGCACGGGTCTGTGTCCCATCTGATCCCCGCTGCTCTCCCCCCCTCCTGAGGCAGCGGGGATCAGAGGGGAAACAGAGGGGATCCAGCTGCCAACACCCAGCGGGGCAGAGAAAAGCTTTCAGGAGGACGAGCAGGGAGATGCGGAGAGGAGTCAGCTGTCAGCTGAGGCACAGGAGGCCGAGCTCTCCTCCTGCACCACCCCGCTCGGCCTCCTGTGACAGGGGAGAAGTCAGGATGGAGAGCGGAGTACTAGCGCTCAGCCATCTGTTTGTAAAGAACTGAGGACATAGAACGCTTACTGTGCACCCTAGTAACAAATGAGCTGATCCCATGTATTTGCGGCTATGGCTTGCGGCAAACGTGTGAAATCCGACCCTATAATCATGCTCAGACTATTTTGCGCGGACGCCACAATAGTCTGAACAATGCACATTGGAATGCATTGTTTTTTTATGTTTAGCGCATACGTGCGGAAAACCACTCATGTGTGAATGGAGCCTAAGGTACCCCCCCCAAAAAAAAAAATTGGTACCCTGTTGTGTTTCTGGGGAGAAAAATTAAGAAAAATGTAATTGGGAGAGGGGGGGCGTTACGGAAAATGTTCATTTTAACACGTGTGCAACAACAACAACAACAACAACAACAGCAAAGATATGCAACATTGGCTCCAGCAGCGAAAGGGTTAAAAACATTGGGTTGTAAACTGCACCGATGTTCGAGTTGCAGTTCGCTTTTTGGACACAAGATGTCGCTGTCGGCAGGCGGCCAGTGCGCTTGCGCGCCGTGCAGCATTGAGGTCAGGGAGTGATCAGCTGGGCAGAGTGCAGTGTGTGCATTTCTATGGGAGAGCAGAGCCAGAGGCGGGACACCAGGGATCATCATCATCGTCCTCCGGCTCGCAGAGACTTACCACCAACCAGGAGGAAGTGCTGCATTCTGCCTACTGCTTGCTAACTTCTGGGACTGCTCAGTGCCCATTGTTCCTCCTGTGGGGGGTCCCTGACAGCAGGCAGAGGAGGGGAAGGTGGTTCATGTGTTGTTTTGTCATCATGAGGCTCTGCCAGGGATGAGGATGATGGAAGAGGGGATCAGGATGACCAGCGCACTATGAGAAGGGGATTGTTGGCTCTGTGATTTGCTGATTGGTCCCAGGAACTCTTGCTGCTCTTTGTAAATAAACACCCACCGGGGTCACATCCCATGGCTGCCGGCAGCATGTCCATAACCGGCTACACTGCATCCCTGCTGCTCACCGCCACCTGCCTGGGTGCCTTAGGTAAGATCTACATCTGTGTTCCTGATTTCATGGTGAATCTGCCGGAATGTGATTTTAAACATGCTTATTTATTGCCAAACATTCACTCAGCAGGGTGAATGTTGACTTTGCAGGGCTACATTCACCCTGAGTTCCTGCGCTTGGTTCATGTAAACGCAGGAAAAGTTATCGGGGAGGTGCAAACAAACTTTATGCTCCCCAGATTGCTTCCTCCTGTGTTTAAGGGTTCATGCGCACGGACCCAAATACAAACGAACGGGAGCACGGCGTAAAATGTGAACGTATGCCCGGCACCCAACTGCTGCGTTCTTGTAGGCGGGTAATCGTGTGTAAATGGTGGGAATTTGCAATTTTGCCAGTACATCTGCGCAGGTGTGTGTAAACGCAGGTACCGCCATATGCATGTGGGCATTATTTCCCAAAAACCAAACTTCCACAATTGGGAATTTGCGTCCATACGCATGCAGGTGTAAAGACAAATACCCGCCTACAGCGTCAGTACGCTCCTATGGGTGCTACGACGCAGCAGCTGAGGCTCCCGCACGCTGCAGATGTGAGTGTGTTTTATGCTGCGTGCCCATACACCTGTAGACACGTCCAGGTGCGTGAGCCTTACAATTAGGGCTGCAACAACTAATCGACATAATCGATTATAATCGATTATTGAAAAAGTTGTCAACTTTTTCAATAATCGATTAATCGGCTTCCGATCAGTTGGCCCTGTTCACGGGTCCACATTACAGTTACATGCGTTTAGATGGGTTCAGGGTATCCAGTCTGCCCCTGTATGGGAATAATTCTGTTCCCTCTGAACGCAGGTGAACCCACAGTGTGCATTTTATTGATTTAGGATCATGACATGTATTTATATACGGTCAGGAATGCGTACTCCCTGCACTGGCGCCATTCATTCTTAATGCACCCCAACGCACCCTGCTAGCAGACATGCACTGTGTTATGATTGCATCCACCGATACCAATGTTGGGGGTTATGATTCCGTCCGCTGCCGCCACAGCCGGCGGTTATGGTTGCGTCCGCTGCCGACACAGTTGGCGACTATGGTTGCTGCCGCCACAGCCGGGGGCTATGGTTGCCTCCGCTGCCTTTAACCCCGGGCGGCTTTGGTTGCCTCCGCTTTGGGGGGCTATGGTGGCCTCCGCTGCCGCCAACACCGGGTGTTATTATTTCCACTGACTTGTTTTCTTATTGTCCCTACAGAAATCTTTCCAGGTCCTTATCTCTATGTACTTGGCACCCAGTGTCATGCGTTGTGTAAATGTCAATTATTACATTATCTTATTTTATGATTCCGTATGACAAGTGAAATACAACCGGCTGCCTGAGAGCTTTATAAACCTCCGCACAGCTCACGACGTCCGCAGCTCACGTCCCTGTCCCAGAAGGCTCTATAGTCTTTAGCATGTTTGTGAGGAGAATGGGAGGAACCAGGGAAAGCGACATGTAGGCAAGTTCAACTTCAGCTATACAAGAACTCCGGCCATTTAAAAAATAACCCCCCCCCCAGTGCAAGGGTTCATTTTTAGTTGCCGGAGTTCTTCTTTACCATTGTGAATGGAGAGATGTGATGTGGGGCTGGATTACGATATCGGCACTAGACGGGTCTTAGGTCTCGTTCACACCTAGGCGTATTGCATATGCGCGGCTGTCGCGCGTTTTTTACAGCGATTCGCGGTAAAAAGTCGCGCGACAAACGTGCGTTTCCGAAGGCTACTTGGCTGTATCCCAATGGAAACGTGCAACAAAATGGCCCAAAGTAGTACCTGTACCTTTTCAGGCGTGGGCCGTTTTGTAGTGCGTTAGGGACGGGCGGAAATATGCCAAGGTGGGAACGAGACCATTGAATACGATGGGATTTATATTTTTGAGCGTTTTGTAGAGCGTTCGTCGAGCGTAGAACGCGCTACAAAACGTTCAGGTGTGAACGAGGGCTTAGGAGTCGGGGTCATCAATACTCCTGAAGACATGACCGCTTGCAGCTTTCTGGAGCCTTTTCTATTGGAAGCCGGAGCTGGAGAGAGATCAGCAGTGGTATCCTGTCCAGGTTCATCATACCCACCCACACAATGATCCTCCATTGTCGGCCACCTGGAGCAAACAAGTAACGCATTTCATATTCACAAAGGCTTCGCTTCCTGGCAGGTGAGCAATCACTCAGGAGATCCAACAAAGAGGCCCCACCTGCCCGCAATACTCCTATTATGAGCACACTCAGTGTCTTTGCATGGTGTATAGCAGTGTTTCTCAACCTGTGTAACCTCAGGACCCACATACGTCCTCGGTCATTAAGTCACGACCCAAGTCCCACTGCAATGGAATGCACGGCATTGGGGTACCGCGCTTTTCGGTGCGGGCACACGAACTGTGGGTGGGAGGTGCGTTTGGGGGTACCATTCAAATGAATGGCAATAGAACACACCTCCCCACTTCAGAACGTGCGGTAGGAGCCATTGCGTGGTACGGTGCGTTAATTGCATAGGACTATGCGATTAACGCACCGTACAACGCAATGGCTCCTACCGCGTGTTCTGAAGTGGGGAGGTCTGTTCTTTTGACGCACTGTACTAGTGTGAACTGGCCCTTTAAAAACACTGACATGCACACACAACCGCAGACTACACACTCAGACATTCTCACACAAACATACACACCCAAATTTTTTTAATTTTTCTTAATTTTTTTTTATGGTCCACCCAGTCTCCCTACCTTGCGAGAAGTGGAGTGGATCCTCAGCCTGGGGTCAGTGTGAGATGCTGTGCGGTGATGGAGCTCCATCCATATGTGCATTGCTTGCACAGCTCCCTTGCGTGCCCTGTAGAGGTGTCGGGGGCCAGAATGTGACATCACTCCGGTCCAGGTTCCTCTATAGTACACGTGGGGAAGCTCTAAGCAATGCACACGTGGATGGAGCTCCCTCACGGCCATAGCCCCATCTCATCCCACCTCAAGCTGACACTCGGCGCCGGGCAGCATATTTTGAATGGCTGTTTGGTGGGAGATCTGACAGTCCTGCGCTAGGGGGAGACTGAGGAGCCTCTCGCCTAGAAATGTGGAAGGCATGCGCCGACCCACTGAACATGGGGTCACGACCCACCAGTTGAGAACCAAGAGTGTATACTATAGTGAAGCTCTAACATTTCTTGGTTGGGTAATTCTTTTTTTCTCGTTCAATTTTTTTATTTGCCACAGAAGGAGGCTTCCAATGGGCAAAGAACAGAAGTAGAACCCTTCGGCAGTATAGCCAACAGCAATACCAGTACATTCATGTTACTGGAGGGTTGCATTGCTACAATCAACAGTTATGTATTGGTGGCTTCAACCAAATCCCAGGAGCCAGGTCACCAATGCTCCTTTAAAAATTACAGCCGGCGCCTAACTTTTGAGGTCTTCTCGAATTGTTGTCAATGGAGCTGACTCCTAAAAAAATCCTGCTGGCTCCTGGATTGGACAGGGTTGCTCCTACATTCCATAATAATCTAATTATCCACCCCTGGCTTAAGTTATACATGATGTAGTACCGCCATGAGGATTGTAATGGAAGGGAAGCCAATGCTGTAGTCAAGGGTACAGAAGGTTAGAAAGGGATAGAGAAGGAAGGGGTGGCAGGCTTGGGTAAGGGAGACATGTCAGGGTGGAAGAGGGGGAAGTGATCAACCAGCCAATTGGTCAAGTTGGTTCAAAGCATCAAGAGGCAAAGTACTGAGGGGAGGAACTTTGTGCTCAGGGTTCCCATATCTTTTCATAGAACTCGCCCATAGGCTGCCATGGCTGCCAATTTTTTGATGGGCCGTGGTTGGGGATGGTCTGGCTTTACGTCTGACATCCCAAGGATGTTTGACTTCCAACCTTCTAAGATTGCCTATGGATTCAAAGCGTTGAGGCGTTTGTAAAAAAATTTACCCTCTGAAAGTCTGAGGATTTTTGACTGAGACTTTTGTGATTGTTTCTTTGTCCGAAGAGTTAAGGGGCGTCTGTCAAAGGCCTGAGGGGAGGAACTTTGTGCCCTCGGTTCCCATATCTTTTCATAGATGGCCAAACCCACCCAAAGAATGGCTGTCAGTTTTTCATGGGCCATGGTTTGGGATGTCTGGCTTTACCGTCTGAGATTCCAAGGATTTGTGACTTCCAGGCTTTTAAAATTGTTTGTGGATTCAAATCTTTGAGGCGTCTGTTTTGGTCTGAGGGGACGAGCTTTGTGCCCTGGGTTCCCATATCTTTTCCTATATGGCTAAATTCACCCAAAGAATGGCTACCTACAGTATTTTTAATTGGCCATGGTTTGGGATAGTCTGACATTGAGAGGCTTTTGAGATTGTTTGTTTGTGGATTCAAAGCGTTGAGGCATCTGTCAGGTCTGAGGGGAGGAACTTTCTGCTCAGGGTTCCCATATCTTTTCATAGATGGCTAAACCCACCCATAGAATGGCTGACAATCTTTCATGGGCCATATTAGACATCAGTTTGTCGTAGACCATTATTTGAGTCTACCTTTTTACCGTCTGAAAGTCTGAGGATTTTTGACTTTCAGACTTTTGTGATTTTGTTTCTTTGTTTGAAGAGTTAAGTGGCGTCTATCACAGGTCTGAGGGGAAGAACTTTGTGCTCAGGGTTCCCCTATCTTTTCATAGATGGCTAAACCCACCCATAGAATGGCTGACAATCTTTCATGGGCCTTGGTTTGGGATTGTCTGGCTTTACCGTCTGAAATTCCAAGGATTTGTGACTTCCAGGCTTTTGAAATTGTTTGTGGATTCAAAGCTTTGAGGCATCTGTCATGTCTTGAGGGGAAGAACTTCATGCCCGGGGTTGCCATATCTTGTCATATCTAGCCATTCTATCAGTGAATTTAGATGTCAGTTTTTATAGAACGTGGTTTGGGATCCTCTTTCTTTACTCTCTGAAATTTTACGGATTTGTGATTTTTCAGGCTTTTGTGTTTTGTTGGTTCAAAGCAGTAAGGCATCTGTCAGGTCTGAGGGGAG